GCTAATTTTTTGTATTTTTAGTAGAGACAGGGTTTCACTATGTTGGCCAGGCTGGTATTGAACTCCTGACTTTAGGTGATCCACCTGCCTCCACCTCCCAAAGTGCTGGGATTACAGGCGTGAACCACTGCACCAGGCCAGGAGTGAAGATTCTTACATTGGAGACTCCAAGAGGCAGACCCAAATTAGAAATAATTTATATCAACCCTCCCGTTTGAGAGGAGAAAAGCGAGGCCTCTGGCGAGAAGGTGAGTTAGTGGTGGTCTTCTGGCTTCACATGCAGGGGCTTTGCTCCGAACCCTGTTCTCAGCCACTTCCCCAGCTCTTGGGGCCGGGGTTCCAGCTGACCTTACCCAGCCCACACACCGCTCCGAAGACACGTCCCAGAGGACGGGGACGTTCAGGGATGGCGAGGCCCTGAAAACAAATGGGTTATGTCCAGATCCCAGGCAGGGTGAGAAGCAGAGGCTTGCTCTTAACCCCTCCAAGGGTGGAAAGTGCCTAACAGTGCTGGTCTGAGGACTCCGTGAGGAACAAATGGATACTGGGTGTCCAGTGCCTTGTTAGTTTCCAGCCTCTGATCTGGACAGTTTAACCTTTTACCAGCCTGCCCCTTTTCGGTAGGATGTGGGGTTTTGGTTCTTTCCTTTCACTCAGACAAGTTAAACTCTCAGAACCTCAGGGTTCCTTACCGAAAGTGGGGGCGACAGGACCTACCTCCTGGTAATGATATTGTGAGTGGCAGGCATTGAATGAGTTAAATGAATGCAACGCTGGGCCCATAGTAAATGTTCTAGGTGTCTTTTTATTTGTATTCCAGTCACTGGGTAGCGGGGCTGCAGAATCTCTGCAATACGACCACATGCCTTAGGAGAATAACCACCGAGCACTGACAGGGAGACAGCTGTAACCTCTCCCAGGGGTGCAGGTCCTTTCTTCCCTGCTAGGGAATCCTGGACAATGCTAGTGGATTTCTAAGCCTAGGACAGGGAGGCTGAGGACCTGGAGATTCACTCTTAGAACTTAGGCTATGGTGAGCATCTGGCGAAACCAGTCCAGTGCTGGACAGACCAGGGCAAAGACAGGCCAGTTGGATCGTCACTCCCCTTCCTATCTAAGAGGACTTTGGGTAAATTGAGGCCAGAAACATCAAGGGACTTTCCAAGAGTTGGTGGCTTAGCTGGAGCATTACAAATGTTTAATGAGTACTTACTAAGCGCTTTACCCGTACTGAATCATTTAATCCTCCCATCATCCTGTGAGGTATTATCCCTAGTCACAGGAGGCCCAGAGCTTGCGAAGGTCATACCACGAGTCAATGGGGCAAGGGCTGACAACGGCACCAGGGCGCGCGTGGTACTTGGGACCCATCGGCTGCACCACCCAGCCTCCTCCCTGTGGCTCACAGCCCAGCTTCCCGGTGTGTAGGATCTGGAAAGAAGTACCCCACCTCAGTCTACAGAGCAATGTTCCATTTGATCCTGCTACTGAGCCCCCCTTTCCGCCCTCTAGGTTTCCAAGGGGGAGTAGCAGGGGCGTGGCGCTTCTTTCCCCGCCCGGCAGCCCCCCGACCCCGGGCCCCATTACAGCGCGTGGGCGGCGATCCAGCAGGAGGAGGCGCAGATCCACAGGCCGAAGGAGATGCAGACGCGGTGGCGGGCGAAACAGCGGTCCAGGTAGTCCCAATCCCAGAGCGCGGGCGCGGGGCTGGGCGCCTCCCCCATGGCGCGGCTGGGCGCGCTCCGCGGGGCTGGGGACCTGGGCGCAGCCTCCCCCGCCGCAGGCAGCCGCGAGCGCCGGCCGCCCCGAGCCCGCTTTTCTGGGTTCAGTTCTGCGGCAGCGGTCCCGGCCGAGCGCACCGACCGCACCGACCGCGGGCAGAGAAGGGCGCGCTCTCGGACGCGGGCGGCGGCTGCGAAGGCGCCGGGGAAAAGTTTCCGGGACCGCGCGCTCCCCACCCCTCGCGCTATTGTCGGGGGTCGGCGGGGAGGAGGCCGCCCCCCAGCGGCGGGAGCCGGGAGCTGCCGGGGCACAAAGACTGCAGCCCCCTCTGCGCGGCCCGCGGCGGCGCCAGCTCCCCGCAGACCTCTTCGGGGTCACCCACCTCCAACATCCTGGCCGGAGCGGGGCAGGCGGCTGGGCTCGGGGAGGACCGGGTCCCTGCTGGTCACTGTAAGGCACAGCGTCCCTTCCGGCATTCGGCACCTTTCCCGAGCCAACAATGCAATTAGTTGCGCTGCTGAAGCGCCTGGGTGCTGGGATCCCAAGGTGAATGGGGCCTGGTCCTGATACCGGACAGGGCACAATAGAAAGGGTGGGGCGCAAGGCCAGGAAGGAGGAAACTAACATGCCGGAGAACAAATACCCCCACACTCGCCTCGCACTCTCCTTTCTGGAGCTGTCCCCGGCACCGTCCGCCCTCGGGCAGTCGCCCAAGCCTGGCTTCTGGATGTCATCCTAGACCACAGCCCCCATAGCCAAGGAGCTGCTTATCTCTGGAACCGGCCGCCTCCTGTCCAGCCACATGGCGCACAGTTCAAGTACACAGGGCTGTTTTTCTTGAGAGCAAACTATTATTGTAATTTTTAAATCTCCTTGTTGATTTTAGTAAGTTTGCTTAACACAAGACATGACTTGAAAAAATTACGTCTACAGAAGGATTGAAAAAAATCATTTAATTAAAAAAAACATACAGCGTTACGGAGATATTATTTATATGTTATAAACTTAGTGCTTTTAAAATGCACAATTCTGGCCGGGTGCGGAGGCTTACGCCGGTAATCCCAGCACTTTGGGAAGCTGAGGCGGGCGGATCACGAGGTCAGCAGTTCAAGACCAGGCTGGCCAACGTGGTGAAACCCCGTCTCTACTAAAAAAAAATACAAAAATTAGCCAGGCATGGTGGCAGGCGCCTGTAATCCCAGCTACTCTGGAGGCTGAGGCAGGAGAATTGCTTGAACCTGGGAGGTGGAGGTTGCAGTGAGGTGAGATCGCACCACTACATTCCAGCCTGGGCAACACAGCAAGACTCTGTCTCTAAATAAATAAATAAATGTACTTTTACACCAAACTGTATTAGGAGGTGGAGCCTTTTAATGGTGATTAGGTTATGAGGGTGGACACACAGCAGGAACCAGAAAGCAGGCGCTTCCACCAAATCTGCAGGCACCTTGATCTCGGACTTCCTAGCTTCCAGAACTGTGAAAAACAAATTTGTGTTATTTACACGCCACTCAATGCAAAGTATTTTGTTATAGCAGCTCAGATGGACTAAGACAGGCATTGTGTTAGGAGCTGGGGACACTATTGAGTGAAACGGACATGGGTCCTACCTTCATGGAGCTTACAGTCCAGTAGGAGAGAGAGAAATTAAGCAAGCAACTGGCGGGGCACTGTGGCTCATGCCTGTAATCCCAGCAATTTGGGGGGTGGAGTGCTGAGGCGGGGGGATCAGTTGAGCTCTGGAGTTTGAGGTCAGCCTAAGTAACATGGTGAAACCCCTTTTCTTTGTGGCACCGAAAATTTACATATAACATAAATCCAGATCCCCAGGCACGTGTCCTTGGATTCAGCATAGATTCGTCTCCAGTAGTTGCTGTAATAAATTGGCACAACTTTAGTTGATTCCTTCACAGTTTGAGATCAGGAATTTGAGATCGCCTGGCCAACATGGTGAAACCCCGTCTCTACTAAAAATACAAAAAATAGCTGGGCGTGCTGGTGTACGCCTGTAATTCCATCTACTTGGGAGGCTGAGGCAGGAGAATAGCTCGAGCCTGGGAGGTGTAGTTTACAGCGAGCCGAGATCGCACTATTGTACTCCAGCCTGGGCAACAGAGACTCCATCTCAAAAAAAAAAAGCAATGGGACGAGTGTGGGCCTCTGGAGCCTGCTGATCTTACACTGGAATGTTCCCTCCACCGTGCAGCAGTTGTGCTGTGACTTGGGGTAAAGCACTGTTCTTCCTTGCACTTGTGTGTTTCTTTCTGTAAAAGGAAGAAGGTCAGCTAATGGTGGGGAGACATAATGGCTCCGTTGTTTTTGTTTTTTTTCTTTTTTTGAGATGGAGTCTTGCTCTTGTTGCGCAGACTGGAGTGCAATGGCACCATCTCGACTCGCTGCAACCTCCGACTCCTGGGTTCAGGTGATTCTCCTGCCTCAGCCTCCTGAGTAGCTGGGATTACAGGCATGCGCCGCTACGCCCAGCCAATTTTTGTATTTTTAGTAGACATAGGGTTTCTCCATGTTGGTCAGGTTGGTCTCGAACTCCTGACCTCAGTTGATTTGCCTGCCTTGGCCTCCCAAAGTGCTGGGATTACAGGCTTGAGCCACCGCACCCGGCCCAATTCTTGGCTCTCATCCCTACCTATCCTCTGCTGGGGATCTCATCGGGTGTCTGGCTTTAACTGCTGTCCCTGCACCTGCACCTCCTGGATGCATAGCTCCAGGTCACCTCCTTCTCATACTTTAGACTCACATATGCAACTGCCTACCTGACATGTCCACCTGCATGTCTAATTGCACACATCTAAAGCCAAACTCTTGGTTCTCCGTCACAAAGCTCATCCACCGCAATCATCCTTACTTCAGCTGACTCGGTGTCCTGGTCCTGTGGGGGCCCAAGCCCTAGTGCCTGCGCCGCTCTATTAAGATAGCTCTGAAAGGGTGAGGAGTGTTGTTTTTCTACCAGGCTGTGAGCTGCATGCAGCCAGGGTTGTTTAGTTTATACTTGCATCTTCAGCCCCTAGCTCAGTGCCTGGCACATAATAAGGAAAATATTTATTGAATGAATGCACTGATTTTTTTTTTTTTTTTTTTTTTTTTAGACAGAGTCTCGCTCTGTCGCCAGGCTGGAGTGCAGTGGCATGATCTCGGCTCACTGCAACCTCCGCCTCCTGAGTTCAAGTGATTGTCCTGCCTCAGCCTCCCAAGTAGCTGGGATTGCAGACATGCACCACCACGCCTAGCTCATGTTTGTGTTTTTAGTTGAGACGGGGTTTCACCATGTTGGCCAGGAAAGTCTCAATTTTCTGACCTCGTGATCCACCCACCTTGGCCTCCCAAAGTGCTGGGATTACTGGTGTGAGCCACCGTGCCTGGACTTTTGTTTTTGACACTGTCTAGCTCTGTTACCCAGGCTGGACTGCAGTGGCGTGATCTTGGCTCACTGCAACCTCCACTTCCTGGGATTGTAGGAACACACCACCACACCCAGCTAATTTTTGTATTTTTAGTAGAGGCGGGTTTTCACCATGTTGGCCAGGCCAGTCTTGAACTCCTGATCTCAAATGATCCACCCGCCTCAGGCTCCCAGTGCTGGGAGTATAGGCAAGAGCCACTGTGCCCGGCCAAATACCCTGATTTTTAAACAGGTCATAAAAATGTGACATGTTCTACAGCAGGGACATGTTTAAAGTACATTGGCGACACTCTGCATTGTGAGCGGGGGTGTGAGGAGTTTTCAAGAAATAACGCATGAACTGGACCTTTTTATGTTTGCTTTTGGCAACAAGGCCACGGCAGGAGCTCTGCAGAGGCCCTCGGAGGCGGCAAGAGATGGCAGGAGAAAGGCAAATAACAGAGGCAGGGCAGCACCCACAGGAGGGGAGGCGAGACAGTCAGCAGACAGTTTCGAGGGAGTCAGGACTTCATCCTGCAGCGAACACCAGATAGTATCTTCTAACGACCTCCCTCCTGCCATTAGAACCCAGCCCAGGCTCTCCCTCTACTTTCCACAGGGTTCTGCACGTGGTCAGCCCTCAGGAAATGAATCAGTTCCTTAACCAGGCTCCTCAGAGGTCCAGCAGCTGCCCAGGAGCTAAAGATTACATTTTTGGCCACGGTTCACAGTTAGCTGAAAAGAAAAACTAACAAGAGGACCGGAGCACTTGTCGTCCTGGACGGTGGGCAGTGATGTGACTGCTCAGAGGCATTTCCTGTTGGCAGGGGCGGCGGGACCTCAGGCACCGTCCTTCTGAAGGAAGGGCTGCAGCAGCCTGGGCAAGGGCAGCCAATGGTGACGGTAAATCCTGGCCACCTGGGGGAGACAGGCCAGCAGTTCAACAGCTTTCTCTTCTGGGAAGGGCATGTTGCTTGAATCCGGGAGAGGGAGGTTGCAGTGAGCCAAGATCATGCCACTGCACTCCAGCCTGGGCAACAGAGACTCTGACTCACAAAAAAAGAAACATAGATAATACCTGAGACAGTAATTTATAAAGAAAAGAGGTTTAATTGGCTCAAGGTCCTGCAGACTGTACAGGAAGCACAGTAGCTTTTGCTTCTAGGGAGGCCTCAGGAAACTTACAATCATGGCAGAGGCTAAGGAGAAGCAGGCATGTCTTCTATGGCTGGAGCAGGAGGGAGACAGAGGGGAGGTGCCACACACTTTGAAGAAACCAGATGTGACGAGACCTCACTATCACAAGAACAGCATGGAGGGTATGGAGCCAAATCATTCATGAGGACTCTCCCCCATAATCCAATCACCCCCACCAGGCCCAACATCCAACATGAGATTTCGACATGAGATTTGGTGAGGACACGGATGTAAACCATTATCAGTAGTGCTTTCATGCTTCTGATTGTATTTTGTAACTATGTTATTGAACTATAATTTACATACTATGTAATTCACCAATGAATGGTCTTAAGCATATTCACAGAGTTGTACGACCATCACTACAATCAATTTTAGGACATTTTTATCCTGCAAAAGACAGGCCTCAATCTTCCCATTCCCTCCTATACCTAAGCAACTGCTCATCTACTTCCTCTATACAGAGATTTGCTTATTCTGGACATATTTTAAATAAGTGGAATAACCAGTGAAGATGGGCTAGTTAGTAAATACCGCAGCTTCCGGTCACCCAGTGGATATAGTCTACATGTTCCTCAGTGGAAGTGAGCCCCCACTACCCACTAACTGAACGCAAGTCCCTTGTTTAGAGTCTGAGGAACCCAACGAGGGCATTCGGAATGGGGAATTTCTGTTTCACCTTTGTCCCAAATGTGTCTCATGAACTATCCCTTGCTATTTTTTTTTTCTTGTGATGGAGTCTCACTCTGTAACCCAGGCTGGAGTGCAATGGCACGGTATCTGCTCATTGCAATCTCTGCCTCCCAGGTTCAAGGGATTCTCCTGCCTCAGCCTCCCGAGTAGCTGGGATTACAGGTGCACACTACCACACCCAGCTAATTTTTTTTGTATTTTTAGTAGAGATGGAGGTTCACTGAAGTTTCACCATGTTGGCACGTGAAGCGCTGCGCTGCCAGGAGGTTTCTAGGGCTCCCCAATAACTCCTTCTAGTGAGATCTGGTGTTTCCAGGAGGCCCTCAGTCTTGACACGAAGACTGTCGGGTGCAGCTGTGCTCCCCAAGAGCAGGCCCCTTCTACAGTGCCAGTGTCTTGGAATAGTTCCATAGGCAGCCAGCGGCTTCTGCTCTTTCCCATCTGCACAGTGCAGATGGCATTCTGTTGTAGCCCAACTTCACATGTCCAGGTGCTTGTAGAGTCTACGACTTTTTTCTTTTTTATTTCTGTTGCCATGTTTCTTCCAGGGCTTCCCTGCCCCATTCTCAGAGCTCGCAGTAGCCGCAGTCACCACCCCGCTCCTGGGCTTGTAACCCATCACAGCCTGGACTCCTTTGGTCAAAGCTCTAACATTCTCCTAGGAAAGAAGAGAAAACATCATCTGAGATGTCAGCAGGCTATCCTTTAAGGGATATGCACAGCACTGTTAGTGGATCGCTTCAAGGTAAGGAGTAAATCACTCAGTGAATTTCCATCCATCCCTTTCACTGGTCCTCTTCCTCTCCCCAGCATTCTGTCTTCAGGTCATCTGTTCTCCCTCCTCATTCCCTCATCAACTTTGTTTAGTCCCATAGTTTAAAATGCCACCGACAACTAGACTCAGTCCCAGCTGTTTTCTGGACATTTGTCTTAATATCAGAACTTAACCTGCTTCAACCAAATTAGAAATGGACTCTAAACAAATTTTAAGTTTACTTAGTAAAAAAAAAAAAAATTACAATATGATTTACAAGTTACTAATAGTAAAATATTACTCTAGAGGCTACAGTTTAGACATATGAATTATACTAAAATTATGGCAAGTTTTCAGCTTTCCTGTATGTAACCTTTAGAAACCTGTAAACATTTAAAAATTCAAAATAAATGTTCTGTATGACGGTTGTAGGCCCAAGAAGAAACTTGTGATCTTTTTGCATATTGGTAAATTTTCTTCCAAATATTGGTGCCAACTTGGAAATAATTCACAGTAGGAGCTGCGAACATCTAAGTAACACTCTGCAGTTTAAAGCAAGTGCCCTCGGGCAACTCAATCTCTTGGAGCCCCAGTGTCCTCAGGGAGTGGTATCTGCTGGGCCTGCTTCCAGGCTCACTGTGTGAGGCCCCAGATAAAACACTGGATAAATGCAAAAGCATTCTCGGGACACAGCTGACCACCCCCTCCTAACCGCTGGCCCATTTTTGCTATAGCA